CAGCACTTCCACCATCCTCTTTGAAGATGCTAGGTTATTTCAACAGAAAATGGTATCATCATTCCTTGCATGGCTTGCGTAGTTTCATTCGTGATAGCAAGTTGAATGAAAAATATTTCAATAGGTGCAATGATAGTCGATGCTTTCTTTTTTTGCAAAAGATAGGTTTGCTACATCATATGCTTGTGTGGTCCAAGTCTTTTATAATACTAGCACAATGCCCGTGAGGAGTTCAATCACTGGCTTAGGAAGTCATCAAAATATTGTCTCATGCTGCCTTTACACTCAGTTTACAATTAAAAAGAACAAAAAAAATATGAAAAATCATACGGCGGGCGTTGGAGAATCTTAAGCGATCATTGGAAGACACAACATTTCGAATGTTGAAACATAGGACAATGGCTATCTTCGTTTTGGAATTGCAATTTGTTCACTCCCATAATTCTATGATATAGAAATGGGAGAGATTGTTTAGGAAGAAACTAAAAACAAGAGCATTATTTTGAGTTGGAGTTGCATTTCTGCATTTGTTAAGTGTTGAAAGGAAGTCTCTTGGCACTTTATTGCAAACTTGAGAGTGTTACATCATTTAGTACATGAGGTAATAGAAAATTAGGCGGAACATCATCCCATCAAATCATTTCTATTGAGTCATAAGCATGTCTCGCTAAAACATGTGCCAACTTATTTGCTTCCCTGGGGCAATGACAGAACTGAATCAACGATATCTCATGTGCAAGTTGGAAAGCATCATATAAAATAGTAGTATACGATTGCCAATATCTCTGAACCTCCATTGCAAACGATAACGAGCCCTAAACAGTTTGACTCCACGATGATTTTTGAGCATCCAATATCACGTACTAGTTGAAGACCAAGGTAAAGTGACATTGCTTCTGCAGACGCAACACCTGAGGCATAACTGAAAATCTCTGCAGCACCGGCAACTGCTTCCCCACGACTATTACGCACAACAGCAGCCATTGATCTTGTACCATCTTCAAAGAAAGATGCATCAGTGTTTACCTTGTAAGTATCAATAAGTGGTTTCGCCCAGCCAACTCTTCTCGCCTGCTCCTGAGGAGACTTCTCTGCATAGTCTGATGTTAGTGCTTGGATAGCGAAAGCTGAGCTAAGAGGTTGTTTGATGTTCTCGCCTTTCCTTGCTTCTCTCCTTTTCCTCCATATGCACCATGAGGCCACAACCACTGTTTCTTGCAAGCCTAGCTGTCCTAACACCGGCGACTTCCTGTGTGGCCATCGTAGGATTTCTTTCAAAACTACAGATCCCGAAAGATCCACTGCCAAAGCTTGATCAATAACTGTATTAAGGCCAAGTGCCTTCCAAACTTGTCGAGCGCGTGTACAAGTAAAAATAAATGGCGAATATCTTCAGGCCAGAACGACAAATAGGACATTCTGCTGAGACTTTAATATGCCTAGAAGTGAGAACTGCCATACCAGGAATAACACCTTTAAGAGCTCGCCAGATGAATAATTTTATCTTACTAGGGACTTCCAACTTTCACATAGCCGACCAAACAGGATTAACATTTGAGGTCCCTTCACTACTAATAATTTTTGAACCAAACTGGTGTTCCCATACTGAGTAGTAGGCTGACCGAATAGAAAATGAGTGCGATTTGGTCTTATGCCATGCTACAAAATCCTCGTTTAGATGCACTGATAGAAGAATTCTCAAAATTATTTCTGCATCAATTGGAAGGAAAATAATCCTGATAAGTTCCACATCCCAGGCTCCTGTATTGGGATTAATCAACTCATTCACTGTTCTTAGTAACACGTTCCCTTTCCTTGTCTGGATCATCCTTATTGGACTCGAAGGTACCCAGTGGTGCTCCCAGATATTTATTTTCTCACCGGAACCAACTCTCCAAATGTGGCCTCTCCTGAACGTTTGCAGACCATCGATGATACTCTACCACGTAAAAGATGATCCCTTTTTTGGTCCTGCCTTTAAAATATTTCCATCAGGAAAGTATTTTGCTCTTAAGACAGTAGCACAAAGAGTGTCCAGATGCGTTATCATTCGCCAACTTTGTTTCGCTAGCATGGCTAAATTAAAAGCATGGTGGCCCTGAAACTCCATACCTCCTTTATCTTTTGGAAGGCACATCCTCCACCAAGCTAGCCAGTGCATTTTCTTCTCTTCCTCTGTACCCCCCCCCCCAAACAAAAGGCCGCCATTGCATCTGTGATTTCTTTAGATATTTTCTTTGGAATTTTAAAAACAACCATGGCATAAACTGGGATAGATTGGATAATTGCTTTCAAAAGAATTTCATTTCCTCCTAAGGACAACAACTTTTCCTTCCAACCTTTAAGTCTATTCACAACTCTTTCAACGAGATGAGAGAAACTATCACTCCGGTCCAAACCCACCATAGATGGAAGACCAAGATATGTGTCAGAGATAGCTTCTGTCAATATGTTCAGTTCTGCACAGACCCGAGCTTTGATATCCACATTCACATTTGGCTAAAGAAGATACTACACTTCCACTCACTCACCAATTGTCCAAAACTTGCACAATATTCATCCAATACCTGTCTCAATGAGGTTGTATTATTCATATCCGCTCTCATAAGAATTAGGGAATCATTAGCAAATAGTAAATGAGAGACTGATGGTGAATTTTCTGCACACCCAAACACCTTCAATGCCACAAACCTCCTCTTTATGAGCCAAAGCACTAGATAAACCCTCTACACACATAAGAAATAAATAAGGTGACAAGGGGTCTCCTTGCCGGAGCCCCCTTGTAGGAGTAAATTCCTCTGTTTCTTGGTCATTATACCTCACTTTGTATTGATGAAGGTTGTTGGTCTGAGTGCATTTGTTTCATCGTTGAAGGTTAGTGGTCCCACATGTGAACTCACCACCAACTCCAACCTTTATAAGTAGGAAAGATTACGGCATATGGCTCTCAATTGATATGATCTATACATATGAATTGTTGAATTAATTGTTTATATTGTCATAATTTTTCCTTCCAAAATGATCATTGAATTACCAACCAATGTACAAATCATTGCTTTACGATCAATTAGCAATATAAACATTCTTTGAGCCTCCAGAGGCATTACATAATTTCTACTGAATCTAGAGTTTCACAGTCGTTCCAACCAAACAATTTTCAAAAATTTCATAGTTCTCAGCTCACAACAGTTTTCTCATGGCCCACAACAGATTTTTCAGAATCCACGGCTCAACTGAACACACCCTTAGATCAACACCCGGGTCCATCAAAACCGATGCAGAAAATTGGCACTCATCCTGATGACCAAAGCATAGAAATATCTGCCCTGGAACAACCTGAATAGTCTGGCTAGAGCAAAAGATTTCTGGGGAAAATTGAAGCTACTTTTAGGGTTGGACCAAAGATAGGACGTGGATATTCTTTACCTTTTTTGGAGAAAATTAAACTCGACTCTCCAAAAGTCCCAATGCATCTTTGTCCCTAATCTCAAAACTCTTTCGAATGCTGGAGCAAGAAGACGAATTCAAGTTGATAGATTACAACCAGCCCAATTGTTTATATTTCATTTTTCTTCTTCTTCAAAGCCGACATTCTTATAAAACAAAGAAGACGCTGAATTACTTGCTGAATCTCATCTTTCTCTCGGCGCCGAGACAATCTCATACTTTCTCATTTCTGTAGAATGTTAACACCGATGACATTTTAGTCATGTTTTTATCACTAGAGTGCCCTTAAGGTGGTGTGCCATCCCTTCCTAGGACTGGAATAGTTGTTCTTCAGACGAATGCCACCCATTTGGTTCGGGATCAACCAGATTATTCAAATATTCCTCCAAAATCAAGCTCCACGCATTTGAGGAAAAGTCATGGATATGTAATGAAGTTCAAGTTTACTTTATACCATTGATTGATGAGTTTGGATTGATGTGGTATGATGTTTAGTTATTATTGTACATACCATATTTGATCGCCTTATACTGAAAAATTCCAAATTAAGGAGGTAATCTCACCCCTCAAACCAAACACTCCAATGGCTATCCCAATCATGTTTCATCCTTCAAAACAGACAAAAATTGGGCTAACCTTAGCCACCCAACCAAACAGAAATAAAGGC